CAGGGAAGGTAAGAGAAGCTAATGGTGCATCAAGTTAGGATACCTGTGTTCGGTGACCAGACTAGCTACTAGTGTTTTGATCTCTTCACTGTGCGATTGGTGAGAATCTAAGAGTTCCTATATACAGGGGGTTACCCATAGGTTGAGTAAGTTTGTTAATAGTGGTAAATACCGGCAATTGAGACTGATGCCATGTATTGATCGCACGAGCCAGTGGTTGCTGTCGCACGATGCTTTCTCGGTAATTTCGTTCTATAAGAAGGAAGCGGGGTCAGTGAGTGATATCCTCTATATCTGTCTTATGACTGACCAGCTAGCGGCAGTACAAAACAATTTAAATCCTCGTCGTTCATCGACCATAAATATTTGAACTTCATTCCATTGGGGATTTGTTTATGCCAATATTGCATATACTTCACGGCTTTGGCCGAGCTCGCTTCCTCTCTACAGCCTTCGTGCGTCTTGGAAGCAGCAATAAGGTCGTCATACTGACCAATCATAGATCCGCTCGTCTGCCCTTCCAGTCAATTACCAGATTCTCGAGGAGCTAATTCTATGTCTCACCTCTTCGTTACTGTCAGGAGATTTGATATTAATCAGTTCCAGGTATGTATTCATGGCGTTGCATGACATTTGGCGCTCTTCGACCTCTCCATCAGTCGTTAGTCGCGGTTGGAAAATGTATGGATATGGAGAATGTGATACTAACCTCGATTGAGAGAGTCAACCATTGGAGAAACTAGCAGTGAGAGGCCTGACTGGGACCATCGAGGATTGGCCGACCTCCTGAACGCCTTTAATTCTTCGATACTAGCGTACTCCAAAATAAAAAAACAAGGGATTGACTGCGACTCATTCTGACGTACTATTTCCTATCCAGTTCTAGCCTATCAAATCGGAGGTCACATCACGTACACAACTCCCCACACAAACATAGTCACCGTCGCTTCATCCAGTCCACAAATTCGCCCATATATTGGTGCTCTTGAACAATACGTTTTAAGGTGTCTCCTGGAAGAATCTCTTGTGTCGTAGACATTGCGTTGGAGTTGATGGGTTTCCAAGTGGCTTAGCAGAGCAGAGAAGGACCAAAGCCTCGTGGGCGTAAAGCAACAAACGCTGCATATGCACAACGAATATGCGTTGAGGTGTGCTGTATATTTTGCTGTACTACCATTGAAGGTGTTGACACTATTGGAGGTGAAGATCAAGTTGTGTCCTGCTTACCTAATACCGCATAGAGTTGTCGAAATTCATCGTGGCAGATCTTAGAGTTTACACGCTATCAAGAGGCAAAATTACAATCGGGTATCCAACATCCATATGAGAAGAGATTAATTACAGAAGAATACAAGGTTTCCATGCACAATAGTACGCCCTTCAAACAAATAAGATGAGAACGAAGTAGGTTGTGCGGGTGAAATGCCAGAGTGAAAGGAGATCCCTTTCAAAAATTGTGCATCGTCACTCTCGCTTCACTCCAGGAGGTAACGGGCGATTATTACTGAAATCCCATTTGAGATAAATGTCTTGGAAGATCCTCTGGCCATCCTGAATTCGTGAGTAAGATTGCGGGCCGACGATAGAAGAGCTATACCTTTCTATGCGTAAAGAGAGGACCCAGCGACCAAAGAGGTTCGAACCATGAGGAAGGTAGGATATCAAAGAGTGCCGCTACTGTATCCTGCTTTGTGACCCTACGCATGATAATGTGCATCTTGTTGCGCGGTACACCATCTGTGTATGATAGTTAGCGATAAGTGGTAAATGAAGGGACCGTTACGAACTCCCATAGCGTTTCACCTCCTCATCGAGTATTGGAATCAGTGGTGGGTTACTGAGCAATTCGAACTATTATGAGAGTCAGCATTAGTTGAAGACAAGAAACGGATTATCCTCACAGAACATAGTAGTCGTATGTCGTCTTGTGAGAGCCGTTTTAGTTGAGGGCTTGGTTGTGTCGCTAAAGACTGCTCCAAATCAAGGGCCTTATCTTTGGTCGGTCTCGTGTGACCCAGACTGAACTACGTAGACGGTCGTGTTATCACTTGTTCTAACCACACGGAAAGAAGATGGATAACACACCGAATCCTTTCCTTCCTGCAATATCTTCATTGCACGCCTCACTTCGGTCAGTGTTTGCGACACGGTCCCAAAGATGATATAAGGTTGCGTTTTACCATTCGAAAAGTCGACATAAACGGCTTTATTCATGTACTCATGCTCAGATTCGGACTCGCGCCGGTCATGAGCATGAGAGATAAAGGAGCTCGGTGAGAACTCGTGAACACTGTTCTTCGCTGCTTCGAGATGTCCAACCACCGCCGTTAGAAGACGGCTACACCGGAATTCAAGAGAAGTCAGCAGCGAATTTTCGGAATGTCAAATTTGTCTGTACCTGTGTTCTGTGACCATACGGGCTATCCGTGTTCTGATTTCTTCGCTGCGGGATTGGTGAGAGTCCAAGCGCTCCTACACAAAGTGTTATACAAGACCGAATAGATTGTTTATGAGTAACAAATACCGGTAATTGGGATTTGTGCCATTTTTTTATCGCACGAGCCACTTCTTGCTGTCGCACGACGCTCTCTCGATAATTACGCTCTGAGAGAAGGAAGGAGTATTAGCTGATAGGGTTTCAAAGATAGACAGTTACCAACCAGTTACTGGCAGCACAAAGCGATTCAAGTCATCATCGTTCATAAAGTGTATCCATTTGCCGCGGGTTCCTTTGGGAGGATCTTGTTGGTGCCACCGCTGCATATCTTTAACTGCCTTTATAGAGCTCGCTTCTTCTCGACACATTTCGTGCGTCTTGCAGGTCGCAATGAGGTCGTCGTATTTCCCGATCATTGATTTGTCGACCTGTCCGTCCAGTCAGTTTCCTTATTTTCAACGAATAATCAAAGATTTATCTCACCTCTTTGGGAGAGTTGATATTACTCGGCTCCTCTAGGTAGATACTCATGGTTTCGCACGTCGCTTGACGCTCTCCGATCTCTACACCAATTGTCAGTCGCCCCCGAAGGCAAACGAATATGTAAAATATACAACTAACCTCGAGTGAGAAGATTGAGCATGGGAGAAACTAAGGGTGATACGCCAGATTGGGACCATTGAGGATTGGTCGACACCTTGAGCGCCTTCAGCTCCTCCAGACTGTCGCGTTCAAAATCCACAGTCGCGTACTTTATAGAGGAAGGGTGACTTACTATTTCTTATCTAGCTCCAGTCTGTCGAATTAGATATCAGACCACGCGCCCAACTAGTATACGAAAACACTTGCCGTCGCTTCATCCAATCTACAAACTCGTCCATGTATTTGTTTTCTTCTGTGATACGCTTCAATGTATCTCCTGGCAGGATCTCCTGCGTCGTAGACATAGTGTCAGGGTCGTCGAGTCCAACAGGTAATGTCTTGGCTTGAAGCGGAGACCGGCCAGGAAACCGTGTGATCGGCGCTAAACCCGAATCTTCCTTATATGTTGAGGAATATATATTATGGTGGACTATAAACTCCTCTGTGTCGGCATTGTAAATACTCGAGGTGATGTTGGCGAGGTCGAAAATGCGTTACGCTCGCTCAACATTCTTCGCGCTCACACGACCGACCATCCCTCTGCCTATCGTCAAACGACAATAATCTAGCGGCATGACAAGGAAATATATTGACTCTAGCAACTACCGAAAACTCGAACAGGGCAAAGTTACCAACATTCATATCAGCAGGGACTAGCTACAATGTTCTTGCGTACATCCCCCGCCGTTCGCCTCACCCTCACAAGTTACTCGATAAGACTATCGCTTCACACCAGGAGGGAATGGACGATTACTGAGAAAATCCCATTTAATATGAATGTCTTGAATAATCTTCAAGGTGTTCTGAAATAT